ATCAATTAGATGAAAATAGGGGTAAAACGGAATAACACACAATGACACAAATAAACTTTTTAACGTATAAGAGCATCAGCATTGGAGACATTTTATATGTGTCTTTAAATATAAAATTATTAAAAGTTGAGTAAAAGGAAGAAAGAGAGTGTTTTTGGTTAAAATAATGGGGTGTATTGAAATATAAAATTAATAAAAATTTGAGTAAAGAGATGAGATAGTGGGTATTATTGGAGAGAGGATGTCTCGGGGAAGACAAAGTTGGAGAAAGAATGGATGAAAATTGGAGTGTGTTTAAATATTGAATAAAATGATGAAAGAGAAGGTATAAAGTTGAGTAAAAAGAAGAGAAAGTGTGTTTTTAATATTTTTTTATTTAGAGACATCCACATTATACAACGCACTTGAACTGTCTTTGAGGAAAAATAAACTTTTCAGAAGATTTTTATCTGCAGAAGACTCCATGTAATCATTTAAAAAAAAAATTCTACTTGAAAAGTGTTATTTTCCTAATATTTGTTTCTTGTTTGGCCATTTGACAAATTTTCCGTTTTTATGATCTTATTACTAAGACCATCCATATTGGAGACAAAACGTGGATGTCTCTCAATAAAAAAATATTAAAAACATATTCTCTCTTCTTTTTACTCAACTTTATACTTTTTTTTTCATTCTTTTATTCAACTTTTATTAATTTTATATTTAAAAACACTCCAACTTTCATCTATTCTCTCTCCAATTTTCATCCAATAATACCCACTATCTCATCTCTTTACTCAAATTTTATTAATTTTATATTTCAATACACTCCATTATTCAACCAGAAACACTCTATTTCTTCCTTTTACTCAACTTTTAATAATTTTATATTTAAAAACACATATAAAATGTCTCTAATGCAGATGCTCTAAGGATGATCGTTGACCTAACTTTCCTTTTTTTTTCAAGAGATTGGTTCTTTAACAGTCACATGTTCTCCTTTTTCATTAATTTTATTTTTAGATTTTTATTGTATTTCTTTTGAGATATCTCATTTTTTATGATTTTTTTTTTAGAATTTGATCTCATATACTAAGGATGGTAGTCGACCAAACTTTCCTATTTTTTTCGAGAGATTGGTTCGTTAACAATTACATGTTCTCTTTTATCAATAATTTCCGTTTTCAGATTTTTATTGTATTTCTTTTGAGATACATCATTTTCTGAAACTTTGGTATTCTTAGAGTTTCGAGATGTGGAGTGAATTTTTTCGAATACTTGCAAATGACCACGGCAAGATCGGTCTCTCATATAGCACTTGCAAATGATCCAAACCCAAGCTTCTGAAAGACATCTCAATTGCCTCATATGTGTTCATTGTGATTTGTGCATCTTATGTGTTAATTTCATTCAACTTTAGGATGATTAACCATAATACGTGGTTTGCTTATCCACATCTTGGAAAATCTTTTCACTTATAAATTTATTAATTTATACAGTATTAATTTATACAATTTCTACTACTAATAGCGTATGTATGTACGTATTTAAAGAAAATATTCTTATAGATGGACGAAAAAATAAATATGAAAACACAATATTGTGAAGATAAATTAGTGATGTACACACAAGATGACATGTACTGGTTACAGTAATAAAGTTAATGTTGCAAAAAATGTAAGATTGTCGCGTTGAACTTAATGTTAATATGTGTACTCCATATGTTTAATTATGTGACTTTTTTTTAATTTATTGAATAAAATACGTTTCACAAATCACAAATGAACACACATTAGGCAATGCTGCAAATATCTAAATGGCTAATGTAGCAGAATGGGTAAAATGTACCAAATTTGTGATTTGTGAAATCTCACATAAATTGGTACATATTATCTATTCTGATATATCTAAATTTAGCCTTTATCTAAAATTTAACCATATGTGAATATTTGTGCATAAGGTCTAAATGAAATAAAAAATGTCAGTATCTAACAAAGAAAAAAACTAAACTATCCATGCTTGATCTTCATGGGCATACTTACGCGAGACTATGCATTCTTTGGATATTCAAGGAATATATCTGATATAACCTATATTTAACCTCATTTACTATGGATTTTACTAATCTTCTATACCTTTTATTGCATTTTTCTACCAAAAGAGGTGGTTTTCTCGTCTATGTAGGTTATCGAGTTTTAACAGGTTAAAACATCAAAAATATGCAAAAATATCAAAATGAGAGTTAACTATGCTACATAAACATATTCAAGTCAAATGAACCAACCAAAGTCATTATATCTTCAAAATAAAGAACATATTCTCAAGTTGGACAAAATCGTATACACCAAAAGTTTGCCAATAAACGGAGGATCAAATAAGCTTCGAATTAGATGTAACTTGGTGTTAAGATATTGCTTTGAGTTAGCTTTCCAATGGAATTATAATTACATTATTTGGATATGTCAAAGTGTCAAAAAGTTACACCCGAAAGACTTAAGATATGTCAAAGTGTCTTGAAGCTGAAACAGTCCAGAAACAACCCAAGTATCGGTCCGGACCATGGGCCTATATCCTGACCGAAATTTGAAGACCCTTCAGGTGAGGTCATTTTTAGCTACATACCGATCAAAAAATCCGACTGATACGTTTTTCGGTATTTTGGCACTTTCGACCAAAACAATCCCTAGCCGACTTACTATCTCTTGTAACCCTATATATACTTGTTTTTAGCCACTTTAGGAGAAAGAGCAGCCTCATATTCGACACTTATCGATACAAAAACATCTTTCACATTTTTCTCTTTGTTGTTCATTATGCTTGGATTTAAGTCAAGTTGTAGTGATACGATTCATTGCGGGTGAAGGTTATGAAAAGGTGAATATATCATATTCTGCATTAAATTATAAACTTAAGTTCTTTTAAACTAAATAATTAATGCTTGAAGAACTTTGGGAACAATTTTTTTCCATCGGATTTCGGGTCAGGAAAACCAACTTGACAACGTGGTAACGCTACAATGTGTCAACGCGTAAATAAGGCTAACTCACAGTGTTCAAAGTAAGCAGACCCAATTAGTTCGTTTAAATTGGGTATGGTGACCTTTGTCAGGTTTTGGCATCAATTTCGGAATTGTCTCGATATCCGGTTTTGGAGAGGGAACCAAGCCGATATAAGGAAGCTCATCTCCACATCATGCTATCAAGCCGAACGCGTAAAGAACGGGTCTGTCTAATTTACATAAATCGTTTCCAGGTTGGATGAACGAAGCTTTAAACAAATTGGATAATCAAAGATGGGCCTCGGAACAAAAAGATCTGCGATTTGGAAAGATGGAGACTTAAGTCGAAAACTAAAAGAATTTAGCGTCTGAATCAGAAAGAGATAAAAGAAGTAAATAATATGATAAAAAGATGCATTGGTAGAGAGTATATGTATGAAATAAGTCTAAAAAGATGTTTATGAACTCTTTAGTAAAAACATAACACAAAAACTGGGGCTGCGAACAGGCGAAAAACTGGGCTCCTGCCTCCGGTGCTTCTCCCGTGACGGTGCTCTTTCCTCCTCCTCTTGATTGACAGTTCATCATCTCTCACCGACGAAGTATTGTAAGCTTGTATCGATGGGTGTCTTCCCGCCTCTCTCCTCCGTGCCGACAAGCTGGACTAATTGGCTCAAACTTCTAGCTTTCTATCGGTGGAAGACTTGTTCGTCGCTCTTGAACCCGATCCGGCCATCGGACCCTCCGGATCCGGATCCACCGGATTTCCTCTACCCGTCTCCACCATCGATAACCTTCCCATCCCTCTGAAGTTTCTATGCTGCTGCTCCGCCGCTCGCAAAGCTCTATATCTCGATGAGGTTTCATCTCGCCTCCTCCATCCCAACGAAGTCCTTTCCCGCCGGTCAAGAGTTCCGCTCTGGCATGAGAGTTAACTTGTAGTCGTGGTTCAGATCCCATTCATCTTCTCCGTCGTGGACGGTCTATGTCAGGCGGCCGCCGCACCTCCATATCCCCAACTCCCCAAAACCCTACCTCACTCTCAACAATAATCTCTTATGGGCCTGGCCTAGTTGTGTTTCTGCAGGCCCATTAAAGTTAAGTCTTCCTAGCCCATTCTTCAATAAATCAAACCCAATTGGTGGCTCTATGTGTGTCTATGCCGAGAGTAACATCACAAGGCTTTTGTGGAAGATTACACTAGCAATTTTCGGTAGTGAGCCAAATATACTGGTTTCGGGATTGGTCTATGTTTCTGTAAGATTTTATTCACTATGTGGGAAGAGATCATCTTCGGTCCTATTTTTCGCCGGCGAAGGCACAACGGGACAACATGTTCCCGTCGACTGCACTCTTATCTTAGTCCGGAGTTTTAATTTCATGGGTTTGACCCATAGCTTTCCCGTAACGTGCATGTTGAAGCTCGGTTACATCGTTGCACCTTTCTCCGTCAAGGAGAGATCTATTCCAACCACTTCTATGGAGTGTGTTTACAAAAGCTCAGCCTTTATGGCAGCTCATGACGTTCATTTGCCATCAATGGCAGAAGAATTGAAGATCGATTTGTTTGTAATCGATTTTGAAGATCTTTTTAAGAAGCTTACGGGTTTTATCTCTGATTCAATCCGCATAACCTATCCCTTGAAATTTATTGTGACGCATCCGGGTTTTTCCTTGGAGTCGCTGTCTAATAGCTATGTTGTTATTCTTCTATATGGTCTTATTGCTTTCAATGTCTACTTTTTGCAACCATGTAAGATTTCAGTTTAAGGATTAATGAAGAAATTGTTGAACAAAGAAAAGAACTCTTTAGTAAAATACACACAATAAAACTATTTTTTTATTTGTTTTAGTTTACGTATATTTCTGTCGCGGCAACTCTCAATTCTGATAGCTCTCTATTGCGATTACACTTTTCATCTCCAGTAATCATCTATCTTAGTGTGATCTATTTCGATTACACTTTGATCTCTGATTCTTCATCTTTCTGTGTGTTATCTGAATCGAACCAAATTCATGATTCACATGATTTGTTTTTTCTTTATATTTTTCTCTAATAAACATGCATCATTCTATTAGAGATTTTAGAAAAGAAAGACAAGGTATAACCACCATATTTCGTTGGTACAACGATATGGTTAAAATTAAAGATGATTGAGGTTTACCCAAGAAAAATGGACCCAAATTCTCAATATGC